GCTCGGCACCCGAATAAATATGTCATCCTCTAACCATCCACAAACAAATCATCAGCGGGAATTTGTGAAACGCGTGAAGGATATCCTCCGGAGCGGTTATGCGGAGCCCGCGATACCCAATTTATTTCGCTTTTTGTAATTGCTCTGAACTGACGTAGTATATACCTTTACCGGGAATTTGCATCCCACTTTATATAAATGGTCTGGCAATCCCTATTGTATCACAAAGTTGCCCTGGACTTTAAGAGGAATGATTGTGGTTGAAAATTGAACTGCTGGTATCAGTCCGATTTTCACTTTGTTGTAATATGAGTGATCTACTCTCAGTGAAATTGAGCGTCATGCGCTAGGTGCGTTACGCCATAACCGAGAGCCATGATAAACAAAGACAACATGCCAAACTCCGTCAAAGCAGGCAAAATGCTCACAAATATGTCGTGGGGCAAAATTAATTAATTGCAGGTTTTGTGCCTTCACATGCTGTATACGACAAAGCTGTGACCGCGATTCATTGGATCGCTCACCGTCTTGATAAAGAAGAAATTGAGTCATACCGTGGATATCCCAAAAAGGATACAAAACCATCCTGTTTTCTACGCGGGGTTGCTGGAGTCAACCACGATGTCGCTTTTTATGAGCCAGTCGGACGTGAATGACTCTGGGGCAGACGAATCAGCTTCTCCATCTTCTCTATCTGAGCTACTCACCCGTCTTTAGCAGCGACACGATTGAGCTACTGGGGCCTCAAAGTACGATAGCGAAGTTCAGAGAGCTCGTTCGAAATAATACTCATCCAGTTTTGGTCGATCGCCGAGACTCTCACATCAAATCGTCGCAATCAAGAGAGGTCATACGAGCCAGCCGCGAATCGCTAAGCACTGCTCAATGAGAAAGAATTGGGAAATTTTTACGTGGAACGTCTGATGGACTGGTGGAGTGGAAGGGTTTCGAATTCTTTGGAATTTGACGGTCCACTTCTGCGAGATTGCCCTGATGCCGTGTTCACTTTCGACCTGTTAATGCGAACATCGAGGTTACCACCGATCGCCTCAGATTTCTACTGACTAAACCCCACTTATTTTCATGCGACAGATATGACAGCAACCGACCGGTGATTTACACAATGGTGTGGCTATACTGTAACAAGAAGCCACTACGTGGCAGGACTGCCAGTACTTTTGCATATTAATTAGGTATTACTACATCAACTAGGAAAACCTAAGGTTTTAGATGTTGGCGACTCTGTCGCAACTAAAACAACTAAATATTGTATCAATTTTATACGAAAGAGCGTCTTTACATAGGTTAAGGTTTTAAGTACTCTTGGAGAAAGCGGATTGCAATCCGCTACACTCGTACTGGTTCTTGTAAGGAACGTAAGGTATGTTACCTTAGCTTACCTTCCTCTAAGCAAAGAACTACGGCAGCCCCGCTGCAATTTAATAACGAGAGAAGTGTACACTCCCTGTTCTCTAAGGGGGAACAAAGCGTGAGGGTGCGTGCTTTGTAGCTGTCAGAGTTTGAGGCGACCCTCAATGCGGACGGTTGGTTTGATAAGGTTGATTGAAATAGCCTTAAGACGGGCGAGATGGCGTCTTTTCCAAATCTAAAGCGTAGAGATTAAGACTCATCGGCGTTTTTTGTCATCTTTTCGTACCACTTATAGAAACCTTGTGTAATACGTCAATCGCTCCTATCAAGGAAAATAATGACGCTTCAGACGCCTTCTTTCCTGCAAAGCGCGGAGCGGATATGGCGAGGGGATTAGATTCTCCTCTCTGGCGCCAAATTTCTGGGTGAGAACTGCTTATCGGAATGACAAATTGATAGTGCTTATGATTAGCTAAATTCAACACAATTTCGGCGTAAACTCGTCTTTCCAAAGAATATGTCTCAAATCGGTTGCACTCTGTAGAGTGCAACCGACCTAGTCAAGTAATATTATCAAGCGATTGTGGAGTCAATTTGGTATTTTTTTCCTCGGTGCGCACGCTCTGAGAATGAATCATTATGCTTAACGGATGGCTAATGCACTAGTTACGCTCAATCATCAAGTGACACTGTTGTTCCGGCAATATTGTGGTGCTGCACAAATCAAATTTAACGATTATTTGCCCATAATTGTGCAGACTGCGGGACGTAGAATGTCAAAGTATGCTTACAAGGGGTGCTATTATGAATGCGCTCTCGCCAATGTACACAAGAGCCTTTTTGGCGCCGACAAGACCCCATTTTGGGCTTCTGTTTTGGCTAAATGGCCTGCACGTGGACCCCGCAGAGATAAATACCATGAAGAAGTAAAGTAGCTTGATCTGGCGAATTACTTTCAGAAATACAGTGCAATTTACGCTGACATGTCACAACTTCTTATCAACCTCCTTAAAATGAAATGGCGATGGGCTGCAGCCGAAGAGGCTGCGAAGTAAAGTTTCATGTGTAGCATATTCAGGTTCTTTCAAATCTAAATTGGTTAAATGTCGTCAGTAACGCTTCACCCTTTGCTCCAAGCTGTACATTACCTCAGTCGAATTCTGATGACATCGGAGCTTGATCGCGTCTGAATCTTGCTAGCTTTAGTCGTGAAATGATAGCTACCTGTTTCTGATAAAAATTTACTTGCAATGAAGTGTGCCCTTCATAAATACAGGCTGCACCTGCTTAGCTGTAAACCGCTTGCTAAATACAGATCATGCGTCTCTAGGCACAACGACACTTTCATCACAGCTTCTATAGAATAGCAATAGAGTTATTGTTTGCTGTTGACTGAACCAGTTAGGTAATTTATTGGCCAGGCTAGCTTAATGTGTTGATTAATGCGCTTCTCTTTCACCCCAGCTCCAAACTGTTGCATGGCGTAATGGTGACAACTCACTTGAAGAGGAGATGCGTACATCGTACGGGTTATACACAACATGATTGCACTACTAGAAGTTTGGTTAGTAAGCGATTAAAGCACAGATGGCTATGCGCGCGATCACACCCCTGGATCTATATGTCTAAGCCCAAGACACAGTGAATCACAGCATTCAATTGCGTGATACTCAGCGTGATTATTGCCTCATGATGAAGATTTCAAGCACAAAAAATTTACGAAGGACATAATTTAGCTATCTTGGGAGGAGAAAGATATTCTGATTCGTGTATGCTAATTAATAGGGTTTAAAATGAATTTCTGGTTAAAAACATATTAATAAGAACATTCGCGAACACGTATGAAAAGTGTAATCGAGTTATTCTCTAGTCGCATAGGTCGGCAGCGCTGGCCTGCAGCGAGATTTTAACTAGTGTAGGCTGACTTTGAGCTTGAAATTTTCAGTCTCTTAGAAGACGCATCCAATACCGTCGGTATTGTGGCTTGACGGACATTTTGGGCAAGATGTCTCATGCCATTGCTGTTAGCGACAACTTGGCTGGCGAGGATACAGCTAAGCAGTTCAATGAAAAGATTAGCATAATCTTGGGCTGCCCATTCTGCTGGATTGGGTCCCGCCATTTACAACAAGGACATTAGTCAACATTCCAGGCACCATATTGGCATATCAACCGCTGATCTCGCATATGATCAGATAAGCCGTGTTCATTGCAAAGTGGAGATAGTATGCAAAGCATTTGTGTAAAAAGTCTATTGTACGCAAGCGATGCGCCTTCACTCATTAAGTTTGTAATTAAATTCCGCTTTGTACACTTCTAAGGTCTTTCCTGTCGTTTAAAAGATGTAGTAAGCCCTTAGGCTCCGTCGGATGCTCCTCGGATTGACTATGACAAGGGTGAGGAGGAGATGTCAATTCAATACGAATCGCCGATAGCAGTGGGCTTCACATTGTAGCAAACATGAGGATGATTTTTCAAATATATTGAGCGTCATCTGCCGAGCGAATCGCTATGGTTGAGAGTCAGGATGGGCAGAAGCAGCACATCGATACCAGAGGCAGACAACATTCGCATAAATATGGGAAATTGGTTAAAGTAGTTAGTATGGATTGCCTGCGAGGTGCAACCACTACATTGTATTACTTTAGGTCTTAAGACTAAGAGGCGACGATGTATCATGTATTGCTCATGGTCGTAAGCAGAGAACGCGAACTTATCATAATCTTTATGTTAAGTAGCTAAATCTACATCATGATCCCAGTTGGAGCTCCATCTCAACTATTCCATATAACCGAGCTACTATCATTCTAAAGCAGTGATGCGATTCGAAAGAGCTGACAGTGTATCAAGCCACGCATTGCGATTACTTAAAGAGCGCTTACATATATTGATACACATCTATGTTAGCCGAATATCGGACTCTTGGAACGTGTCGACATTTCACGACAACCGAGAATTCTACAAGAGCTAGCAGCGGGAGAGTCGTCTTCCGCCGGTACTGCTTGATGAGCAAGGGTGGCCCAATCTCACGCGAGAGGTTAAGTGGACCGGCGAATAACTTTGGCTGTTGATAGTTTCGGTTAAAGAAGCAGGTATAACATTATTCAGAATACGTTTATGAGTCTGAGGTTCTACTTCGGGAAGATTGCCTCGGCGCCGTCATCGCTTACGACCTGGTTCTCCTCGCCCTTTTCCTCGCTGGGAAGGCGAAAGGGTCGCCCATCGCAATGTACCCCTGAACAGCGAGTGGGACACACCTTGTGGTAAGCTCGACATTTTCGTCAGTAGCTGTAACAGCTGTCGCATGGAGGCAAGCGGAGCTGTTAACAGCAGGAATTTAAGATGATGAGTTTGACCTTGATGTCCGCGCCGTATGATAATTCGAATAGTAAAGCATTTATTGACGCTAGTAAAACCTCGCTTGGTGCGCTAAATGAGCACTGTACTTATCGGCCTTCTTGTCAGCTTTGAGTGCACACGGCACACTAATCATGACGGGAACAACTTTCCTCGACCATATATCCACTCCACTTTTGCTCTCGGTATGAGCTCAAGGTCGTATATATAGGTCTCCAAGGGCTTCGCCCCATTGCTGCAAGCAACTTTGTAATGGCTGAAGACCATAGATACTACGTGATGATATAGGCATGAATCGGCATGACTGTTGCTCCTATAGTCAAACTAGCTCGGCACTCTGAGTTAGGTCCATCCCGTTGATTTTGTGTCGAACATCGTCGTAACTCCACAACGGTATTCGCAACATCGCCCGATATAGAGAAAGGACACAGCGTTCTTACTCGTGGAGGGTAGCTTAATGGCTTGTCTGTAAACGCGCCGATACGTTCTCGCTTATCATCGAGATGAGCCATCTTGTTCCATATTTGCACAGAGACCACAAAAATACCGAATGTATCGGATGTGGCTTATAAAGACCGATAAGTAACTTCATACCTTTAAACAGTAGGCACGGAAGGTGTGCGAAGCCTGCAACATGTCAGCTAAGTTTACCAAATACGACAAGATTCTTACCTGAGCGGAAAGTAAGCGAGCGCACATACAAACTACCGTACTGATACAATTTGGGCCATCAATACATAGCGCTGACCGAGCACTATGTCGGTTCTCTTTCGAGGTGACGATATCATACGCCTTGTACAGCTTAATGGACTTGAGGTCCTCATCATGAGGCACTACTACAAGCATAGTATCATGTGGTTTTAATACTGTATCACGACAAGCTTTGAGATTAGGCATAGCGGTGCAGCCCGCTTCGAATAAACGGCATCTGAGCTTCCGTCCATTTTCTTCTCAAAGATTGTTGACAACGCAGCGCAAATCGCATGATGTACATATCGCTCCAAAGTTTATCAACTTTGCCACAGACGACACCAAATAATCAATCTAGATGTGAAGAAGATAGGATTGAGGGTAGCATGAGGCTATTCTTTTGCATCCTTGATGACCACCTCTTTTGACACATTTTAGCTTTTGTTTAGAAATTAGTGAAAGGTGGTGCCATGTCGACCATATCTGCGCAATTAGGTTGCCGGGCCGAGCCACTTTCTCAACTTTTTTTGATATACGCTCTGGTGAAAAATGCAATGGCCATTTCTCTGAAGGATCTGCCGGCGGACCATTCTTGCCAATTAAACATATCAAGATATATTTAAGTCAGCGCCAAAACATACTTGTCTATATCGTCGGGAGCTTATTCATGCGCATGCATTCAAGCACCACTCGCAGGTGTTCTCTGTAGTCTCCACGTCCGACTCCTGTGCGCCGCACGACTACGAAAGAATATGTAGTCGGATTTGATATGTACATAGCCACGATGTGGCTAAATACCACGAACATCAATGGTGTATAAGATTATCCTTGAGCCAGATCAGCTACATCCAGAGCGTTCCACTCGGAGTACTCACCGCGATGCGTGTGGTATTGCTGTCACTCAGGGGCAGATGAAAGTATACAACTGGGTCAGGGGCAGTGAACAAAATGCATTAAACCACACTTTTTTAGCATAACATCAAGGAATCGGCTTTGCGCCGTAAATGTTGCAGCATTCAAACATATTATATTCATAAACAATTCGCCACTTGTTATAAGCTTTTTCTCCACATATGTTTGGCACCGAGTGAAAAACATACGCCCTCTCACCTTGCTCGCTTCGTGCTTTGCATGAGAATAGTAATTTTTAGCATTATAATTCCCCTCTGGCCAGGGCTATTGACGTATGACGCAAGGCTCTAGAGCCTGGTCAAATCTATGACGCATTCCCTGATCCAAGGGCAAGATGCGCAGTGTCTCTTTTCTTCACGTCGTAATCTTCTTTCAAAAATAATTCATAAAATTTTAAAAACTTCTCGAGAATACCGGTTTCACTCTTCTCCACTCAGTGCTTTTCGAGTGTCAAGATGACATACTGAACCATGTGTGGACCACATAATTTTGTGTGTATGACACTAATTATGTACCCTGTATAGTTGAACATTCTCTTTCAATTCTGAAGTATTGGAACTGGAGGCACTTATCAGGTTAGAGAGGTTTGCAGTCTATTTGCTATAATTCTAAATGTCACTTCAACTTTACAGAAGTCAACAGCCCGCTGGAAGCGACACGCGATGAGGCGTGTCAGTTGACCTAAGCCTTCCTCAGCAGGTGTATGTACACGGACAGGCAATTCCCGTTACATAACCGCTTCTTGCACATATCGTTTATGGGTAATCCCTCTAGCTGAATGAAAACATAGATTAAAGATAATGAGGGAGATTCACGGTACATAGGATACCACGATTCCTCCATTTGCGATTGATAACCTTCCTTACCCTTTACCAATGGCGCTGCAATGCTCCATACAACAGGCATAGCACACACCCATCCGTATCGTAACATCATGACAAGGATATGACATCCTTCTTACATTCAGTGCCTGGCCCGTCAACTCGCACCTTCTCGTCTTCCTTCAGCCTCACCGATCTTGCACAGGATAATAAAGCTAGCAGCTGTACTCGACCAATCTAGCAGGCAACTCTCTAGAGATCACGACTAATGTTGGCCTACCCTATCTCAAATAAGATATATTCTGAAGACCACGATACACAATCACCCTTCTCAAACTTTTTCTGAGACCGCGGTTAGCTGCAGCTTCCCCCTCCCGAACTCTGCTCGAGGAACAATGCGATAATAATTACTTCCATTTTTGGTACATACAGCTACCGCAGCTTTGTGCCATCGGCGAAAGTTCATCCACTTCCTGACACAAGTAAATTCATGACTCGCGTAAGCTCCACAAGTAGAAAAGTGCGTGGTATTTATCGTTATAACTTTAAATTGATCCATTGCTTCTGCGTTTCACCCTCGTCATGCCTCGGGCAATTTCGATTGAGACAAAGTTTCATGCTATCAAAAGTCCCCAAACTTCACATAACCATTGTTTCTTATTCAGTACGCACAAAAATCAGATCCGCGTTTGGCATCTTCAATACCTCCGCGAATGTTTACTGTTTCCAGCAATCGCGCGTAGTCAGTAGATGCACGATGCTTTTTAACTTATTAGAGCTTTAACACATTTTATACAGTCACAAAACACGGAAAATGGGTGAAAACAACCACAATCCTGACAACTTCACTACTAGAAAGTCAATTCTTCAGAAAACTGGGTTTGAATGTTTCTCGTTGAGCTCTATTGACGACCTTCACGAGGAAGAATAAACCTAGTTTTATTCAGCAGACATGAGATTCTATGTTCTTAGCGATAAGCTTGTCGAACGATTCTGCTTTGAAGCCCTACCTTTCGTACCTCATAGTCGAAAGAGAAGGGGCACGAAATGTGCAAATGTTTTGTGCTACCGCAGATGAGACTTTTGCAAGTACCGTGGAGCTGCTTCTTAACTAACAGAACTCTCTCTTTCTCTTCAGCATGGTCTAAATCCATCAAGCTCAAAGAACATCACATCCGACCTTATGCTGCTTTCGCGGTACAAAAACTATACTCCCCATTAAATGCGGCACCCGACGCACCTCGATTGAGGTAGTGTGTAGGCAAAAAGTCTGAGTGCGAGCCGCATCGTTTGGAGACCGGTAAAGAGAATGGAGACTTTTACTACGTCAGGGTGAGATTTGACATCATCGAGGCGACGAGATATCTCAGCTTCTAGACGTAGAAACGAATATTTCGTCTTCCTTAACGGGTCGACAAGAGTTAAAAGAAACGACACGCCTGCTAGGCAACACCCATGACATCTGTAAAAATCAAGATATGGTTACGTTGGTGCCTTACGCCTTATATACCGAGGCATTGACAGTTAGTGCCCATTCTCGCGCGTGGCTTCCTTGCTGAGAAATCGCAAGCACGACGAACTTGTTGATCTGTTTGAATTATGACCAATCTCACCTACCGAGTGCATTTCTCTCGTCCCGATTCTTGAGACCTCGAGGCTCAACATTGGCGGTCTACTATCTGTTTCCACTGCTGCGGCTTCTGAAGGTGTCTTACCAGCTCATGAGGCGAGCAATTACCACATCTACCCATTGACTGCTATCTTTATGTTCACGACAGGACCGAGGATAGACATGAGCTTATTGTGCTATTCTGTTGCCCCCGGGACAGGTGCGGTATGTTTCGACATCCGCGAGACTTTGCCGTAACAATATGTATAGTAATCTCTGCTTTTTCTATAAAGTACATATATTCAGAACTAGTTCTCTGTCGTCTTATACTCAATGAATACTTTTTATCATCACTCGTGATCAAAGACCGTCTGATTGTCTGACGTGCGGCTGTTAGCCCACAATCATCCAAATGAATACCAATCTTGGGTATACATGATCACACGAAGGTGTAATACAAATTTTGAGAAGTTATACCATTTTAAACGTAAATACACAAGATTACAGCATTGACCCCGCTAAAGTTTTGCTACTAGGTGAAGCGTACTAATCCAACATTCGGGATTTGTTGACGCTAACCGTTTGGGTCAAAGATTTATTTGTGCAAAGTGCACGGCAACCCTTGTAGCAAAAAAAGAAAGATACGATTGGATACAGTAGAACATAATTTAGTATTAGTCTAATTAGAAATAATCCGGAATATACCCTTTGAAATAGCAAAGCAACCTAGACAGCTAACTATATTAGAATTTCCCGATTCCGCTTCCGAAAATAGCGTACACTTAGTCTCTTTGCTATTGTCAATGCGGACGTTCATGTAGACTCATCTGTGCGTAGTCAAGTAATTATTTTGGCAAACATTTTGTACAACGATTTGATGTGGCGCACCAAGCTACGTGATCATTGGTTTAAAATTAAGCCTATAGATGGTTGGTTCTTGAAGCGATGGTCGAGGCGTGAAATACCTCTATTCATTACTGTCCAAAGCTATTCAAGAAGGTAAGCGGCTATATTAATGATCACTCAGCAAGTGAGGAGAGGCGCAAAGCATGAGTGGAAAGATGAAAAGCTGACGTTGGAGTAGCCGCATGCGAAAATCTAATGGGCAAAACAAAAGCATGTGCAGACCTACCGACTTGCAATGCATCCTTTATGCAACGACTTCCGAGCTCTCTAAAACTTAGGACGCACCGAGACTGACAATGTTGCTCTTGTTTGTTGCTCGTAGTCTGCAATCATGGCTAACCTAGCGTATTCCCACCCCCGCAACTACGGCAAAGACTCGCGTCACTGCCGTGTTTGCAAAACCACCCGTGGTCTGATCCGCAAGTATAACCTAAACATGTGCCGCCGTTGCTTTCGCGAGCGTGCCACGGACATTGGCTTTGTGAAGGTAAATAATGAGCGTTAGTCCAATATGGTTTCGAACTCGAGACTGATTTTTGCGCCTGTGTAGTACCGGTAAATTAATTATTTGTCGACCATTCACACGTCGGATGAGAGGGTGATGCGCGTGTCGCCCTTGCTGACGCGATTGTTGCGATTGCACGTGCGACGGAGTGAGGTTGTTTAGATACGCCGATGGACATGTTAATTTTCAGATTATTGGACGAACTTGAAGAGGGAAACAGACTGCCGGAGAGGTGCATCCTCTTTTCTCTGGGTAATCGAATAAAGCTGAATTAAAACCATTCTCCCTTTCGAGATGAACGTATTTTCATCTTTTTTCAGTCATGTAGAAAATCGCAACGGAGTGCCTTATGCCGTGCCGAACTAACACGTACCTGTGTACTGGTTAAATCAAGCCGTGGAGGGTGCATGATGAACTACATGTAGTCGCGTATAAAATGGCACTTTAACTTTACGTGCAAAGCAATCTGTATGCACCAATGTCACGCTATTTATTCGTGCATAAGTATATTCGTGCGTTGTCTGGCCATATCTGTGTGAGTCCAAGTTACCGCCTCGATGTTCTCATGATTATATGCGAATCTCAATCTCAATGTGCACATCGTAACATACCATGCGATGTTCCCATTGTATATTGATTGCCCCACACTATTTTAAACACTAAGACACAGGCATAACGTCGGGCAATAGAATCCCAAACTCAGAATTCTCAATTAAAAAATTTGTCACACTTAAGAAATGTGTCCAAGCAACAAAACTTTACACGAGCTCCTTTGTATATTGTACCCAGCCAAAATTCATACAATCAATTTGTTCGTGGCTACGACAATCGCAACAATCACACAGTATCGAAAGCATATTTACCAAGGTTTTCAAACACAAAGACTGTTGCCGTCATCATAATTGAGCTCATGAAAATCTTGTGCCGCAATTTACCCAAATATATTATTTCACCCGTGCATAAAGCTCTTAAGAGCTACTAGCATCTTACATCTCCAAAGGATTCCTACATACGAACTTGGGTTTGCATAAATCTTTATAACGGAGGTCGAAACTCATCACATAGCAACAAGAAGACAGTTATATTAACAATTTTGCACTACTATGAACTAATCATAATTACAGTTCCTTCACATCCTCGTACACAATCCACTCTTGCTTGAAGTGACCGACGCCAGTGACTTGAGACAACCGCCTTGTTGCTTCTTTTCCACTTGAAGAGCTAAGCAGTTGCTGGTCAACATTCCTCGTATGAATACTGGATGGAGACGTGGGTCCAATCGCAGTATGTGTTCGACTTGATGGCGCAGGTAGAGTAGAACCACCATTCTGAATCCTAGTTTCTCCAGTCACGGCGATGCTAGTTGCAAAGTGACCGCTCGCATTCCCATTCGTACTGCATTGACTCGCTCGCCAACTTGTTACTGCACTTTTCGTCGCTTTGTGCTCGACCTTGGAAAAACGTGTCGTGCGAATTATCTGATGCGTAACTTGGGGCGACGTTGCAACCATTTCGAGTGTTGTAGCAAATTCATGTGATATTGAGGCAGTCGTCTTTTGCCCACACACCTGATTTGAAGCTATCGACGGCGGTTTTGACCTTGCTTGATTCCCTTTAGTGGATTGATCCAATAAGACTCGCAAATTCGAGTTGTTCTCGGACACAAATGAGCTGTGGTTCGAGCTAGATTCATTTGACTGAAGTGGCTGAATAGTGGATGAATACGAAGCAGTCGATCTACTCTCTTGCACCAGTTGCTGTAGGTAAATGACAATGTCCAAGGCACTTGGGCGTTCAGCAGGGTCAGCACGAAGACAACGCGTTGCCAACTCATGAATCTCTCGTGGACAGTTTTCAGAAAAGGAGGGGCGTTTGACACCACGGGCGACAAGTCGAAGGATCTCATTCTCTTGGGCCTTGCCCTGTGGTGGATTCTGCGCGTTCCAATACGGGTAGTCATCCGTGTCAATCTCGGAAAGCACGACACCAAACGAGTAAATATCAGCACGTTCGTCATAATCGCGACCAAGCAGCACCTCAGGAGCGATCCAGAACGACGTGCCAATGCCCACGGTCATGTGTTCACTGCCATCGTAGGAACTGCGCTCGCGAGCGATTCCAAAATCACTAAGTTTAGCCTCCATGTCGGCATTTAGCAATACATTCTTTGCCTTAAGATCACGGTGAATCACTGTAGGATTTAATCCGTGAAGGTACGTCAATGCCTCAGCGATATGATATGCAATAACCATTTTGTGTGACTCCCACGTGAGACGGTAGCCGCTGCGCTTAAACCGTTGAGTGACATCGCGTAAATCACCACGTTCCATTAACTCTGTCACGGCTGAGAGCTCAGTTGGTGTCGTCCAACAGGCACCGATGAACTCGACAATACGCGGGTGACTTAATCCCGCAATGAGAGTGATTTCACATACAAATTGCTCGACCTGATCACGCGTGACCTCACGCTCATTCCGAATTTTCTTGACTGCCACTTGTCGACCACGGTAACAGCCTACGAAAACAAGTCCAAAACCCCCGCGGCTGATACAGCGACCTAGCGCTACTTCATCGTAGTCTAGACGGCACGAAGCAAGGATTGCGCTGCTTAAGAGACCTGTATTCAAGGCAGTAAAGTCTTCACTGTCAGGACTGCTGCCTTTTGGATGACTGTAACCGGAATGAGTTGCAGCCCTACCAACGGGGACAGCTGCGAAAGAGTTTTTTCGATTGAGTGCATTGAAAGCGGTAGTACCACCAGCTTTTGGGGTAACCACTTCAATAGCCTCAGGCGATACAAGAAGGCTGTCATGCTCTCGGTTGCGGCGACGATGCTGCCTCACAATAAGGAATAGCAAAACAAGGACGGCGATTGCACCTACGATAAGCCAGTAGCTAAGTGCACCAAATCCATCGTTATCATCACTGTTTGATCCCGAAGAAGGTGACAAGTCCGGCAGTGCAGCTGTAGACGCACTGAGGACGCAAAAAGTGGCGCCGTGTGCAATTTTCCATACACCTTGCCCGCAAGAAGAAGAAAGACTGGGTTTGTCCGCAGTGAAAGCCTTTAATCGTAAAATCTGTTCAAAAACTTCCAGACTTACGTTGAAATCTTTAATGTCGTTGCCTTGGATGTGAAGTGCTTCCAGTTTACTCGTGTTCAAAGATCCGATAGGGAGCATCGAAAGCGCATTGTACGAAAGATTGAGTTCTCTGAGATACGGACCACCGATGAATTCAGTGTCAATGTTGTTCAAAGATAGGTCAAGAAACTGAAGTCGACTCCAATTGCGCGTGAATGAAGCTCCAAGATTCGATATATTGCAATTATGCAATGTTAAATTAATCACAGATGCGGGAATAAAGTCTGATCTCTTCATTGCTATAAGGTTGAGATCTACGTTGTGGATCGAAAGCGTCGAGACATTAATCGAGCTCTTGACCGACTTCACTAGAGCAAGCGAAGATCCTGAAACGTAACGAATATCGTTGACAAACAAAATTTTGGATGGAATTCTATCAGCCCCCTTAATTGTCAGCGTTTGCACGCTTGAGGGGACCCAAATTGGACGAATAGTGTCAATGGCCAATTTATCGAAAGATGACTGGATCAGAGAGCGTACTGGTGCAGAAGTAGTCGAGTTCCACAATTCTTTCGTTATGTGAAAAGTCCACACAGAAGCTGTGTAGTCATAACCCGTAATACATGTGCAAGACGCATTGAGAACCGTGAGTTCGTCGGGACAACCACCATTCGGCGTCTCTGAATCAGAACGAGTCACTAATGCAGGTAAACCAGCGCATAAGTGAGGGGATGCATTCGTCAAGGTTGTTGCATCCCTATTGCTGACAAAAAGTTGTGTTTCGTTATTGCGAAAGTTGCTATGAAACCAACTTGTCAAAAATGACGAAGACGATGACGAGTTGGGTAGGACGAACGACGCTGCAACAGCTTCCGAACCAGAAATGGTCGATTTCTCAGATGTTTTAGTCAACATTGAAGGTGCTCTACTTGTATCAGATTCGTCATCATCTAACGCCACTGTGAATGACGATGACGTATCCATGACTGCAGCGTCATACACAGATTGCGTCACTGCGCTGATAGCAGTATTAGCTTCTTTGTTGGCTGTAGTATTGAAGTCGACTTTGCTGTTAGAAACGGTAAGCATTTGAAAAGAATTTTGATCTTCTGCTGACGGTGTTGGAGCTATGGATTCTGCAGCATCGTCTTCTTTCGATATTGATTCAGAACTAATCGGCGAAATGAATCCAGATGTAGATCTGCTGGTAGATCCATCCGTGTTCGAACCTAAAGTTTCGGTAGCGGTCGGAGCAGTCGTGATATTTGTGTCGACTTCTTCTACCATGAGCACGTTATTGAAATTACCTCTGCCTTCCGTAGTATTTATGGGAACGGGAGGCACTTCGTCACTTCCTTTCATTGTGGCTATCTTAGTTGTGGTATTACCTGCATTGTCGGTTGCGGTACCCATTATTTTAGTCGCGTGATTTGTTGACATTGTAGTATTGTTGTCGCTCACTGTACTAGAATCCTCTGTTCTATTCGTCACACCAGTGGTCACTTGTCCTCGAGACGACGGTCCCATCTGTTTCGACACCACTGTTGTGTTCAAATAAGTCGTCATATTTGGCGATGTCTGACTTGTGATAGGGACAAAATTCGCGTTTACAGCAGAGACAGACTGCAAGCCACGCAGCGCAAGCATAGTGAAGATGGGGAAAGCGACGATATGTCGAGTACGCCGTTAGACGTAAAATGGATATTGATGAGCACTGTGGACAGACATGAAAGAAAAGCTTACGCATCCATCACCAGTATTAGCACTTACTGGATCTGTGGGACACCGGGCTGAGCTCTTTAGGGGCGGCATATTTTCGTGGCTTGAGTGACCTTAAGCTGCAGTAATTGACATTACTACGACATATCACTGTACGCCTGACGTCGTTTGGGGGCGGCCGTCCAGGCGCCACTCAAGCGTTACAACCGGGATTTTGACTTGAAAAAGCGTGTATGTGTTCAGCTTTTGGTCGCCTTTCGAATTGTCGTATTTTGGTGACCTTACGGTGTAGACAAGTAACGTAATGGATATTGAACATCACGCAGTATGGGCTCCTTTGTGCTGTGGGCAAGGGGCAAGAAATTATTTGAAAAAAATATTTTATGCTGTTCATTCTCCTCAAGTAGAATTTGACAGATTTTATATTGCAAAGTATCACCACAATTATGAACCAGATGCGTCAAAATGGGTAAAATGGGTAAAAGTTCACGGCATTGTGTCGAGGATATCGTTATTCGCAATCGATAAAGGTGTGTATTGCGTGCTGATATCATATTGCCTGAATATCGTCGACGTAACTCAGCCGCCGTCGAAGAGCTCTTTTCAGTTTTGATATCAATATTAGCGCAGTCCTCATATTTGAATCGAGATTTTTTCACTAATTTAATTTAGGTCTTCGACATGATCATTTCATTGAATTCAGAAACACTACAGGGAAAGTACGATGATATGTCTAATTCCGTTGTACACGACTTTAACCGGGAATGATCGCGCGCATTCAAATGCGTTTCACTAATTGCCCTTCGCTTCAAGAGCGACGAAACTAAAGTGTGATTATAGCGCTCTTCTTATTACGCTCTAAATTGTATTGCTCTAAAGTACGTTTTGTAACGTACTTTCAAAAATCTTATACTGTGCTGAAGTCATTTTTTACTTCGGTGTGCAGATCGAGAAAGCCTCATGATATCTGTAGTATAAAAAATACCGGTAAGACCACCGATAATAGACAACTTTATACATCAATGCAGGCTTCAGGATTAGAGGAGCGCAAGAAGGCGCTGGAGAAGAAATTTGTGGAAAAGCGCCCACCTCTGGCTTATGCCAAGCTTAGCGGACGTGTAGAGGGCGATACGCCTTTTGAAAAGCTAATTACTCATCTTCCAGCAGAGCTTGGGCGTGGACCAGTTTCGCCGTTACCTGACCACCGCATCACGCTTGGGGAGCAAAAGGCAATTTCTCGCTTGCACGCGCGCATCCAGTGGAACCAAAGTGAAAGCTGTTTTGAGTTGCAATGTCTCGGCAAGAATGGGATGTTCGCAGACGGAAAGTTTGTGAGTAAGAATCAGACTATAAAGCTTAGTTCAAAAATGCCGCTTAAAATTGGCCATGCTCGAGTATATTTTCTCTGTGCTATTCGCTCCACTATAAGCACCATGAGTGGATACAAGATAATTCAGAAGGTGTGATTGATGGAATTGATCATTTAATTAGATTAAGTAACGATTGATTATGGTCGTAGGCATTTGAAAAGGCCAAGTATCACAAAGGGGTAATAACCATGACGGCAGACCAAGTATGTGACCAAATTCTGGAAAGTTTTCCTAAGAGTGAGCAAGAACTTGGTGGAAGAGATCATCTGCGAAATTTTATCATGTAAGAGTTTAAAAGCATCAACTTTGAATTTCAAACGAAGGTTTTCAGAGGATTAATGCTATTGTACTGATGTCTACAGCTCGTACTTGCAAGAAGACACTGCGGCATTTGAGTGCGTTGAAGGAGCAGGATCGTCAAACCCAGTTTATACAATGAGATCAGCGACGGGTGTCACCGACACCAAGAAGATAATTGCAGTCGATCCATCGCCGAAGCCTGAGGATACTAGTATGGCACCTCAAAAGAAGCAAAAGATTTCTCCATAGGTCTTTTCTAATGCATCATTAGAGGATGAACCAAAGTCTGGAAGCTCAAACACTCAGGGTTCTATCTGAAGAGGTTGCTGCTATTTCAGGTCTAAAGCCAAGTAGACTATTTAGATTGTTCCTTGCCCAATTCTGGAACAAGAGAGTGCGTCATCTCTCTAACATTTTTACTAGCTACAGCTACGGC